TTACTCTCTTCGGGTCGGGAATCTGATTGACGTGCTTACGATCGTCATACACGTGGCGCTTTCTGTAGCGTCGATTTAAAATATGTAGGCTTAGCGCGTGTTTTTTTTAATGGCGTCAGTGGTGGTACTAGAACGTCCACATGGCTACTGGTTAGTCCCACGCCATGAACCAGAGCAACCAGCTCCTTACACGTGTTTGGCTACCATCCAATTTCCCTTCAAAATTACGATTCTACCCTTCTCTTCTTTCTCCGGCATATACACACTACCACTCACACGAGTCACCAATTCTCTTTTCAAACACGTAAGCGCCGTCTCCATTCGAAACCGAAAGGTAACTTTTTATCGAGTTTTTATGGTGTTCGTAAACCCTAGCCACCAAGCTCATTGTTTCTCCACGAAATATGAATTTATCGAGTTTCAACACTCTTCCCCACACGGCGGCTCCGGCGACGAAGATACCGGTTTCTGTACGGAGCCATACGATGTCGTTTTTCGAGGATCCAACAAAGAAGATTAGAAAGCCTTACACAATCACCAAGTCTAGAGAGAACTGGACGGAGCAAGAACACGACAAGTTTCTTGAAGCTCTCCATTTGTATGTAACGGAGAAAGATTTGACTTCTTCTTTTTTTTTGTTTTTTTAACCTCTCTGATTAATTATAGTACCTTCGAGATTTGTTCTTCCTGTGGTGATCTTGTCTATTGGTTACAGATTTGACAGGGATTGGAAGAAAATCGAGGCTTTTGTTGGATCAAAAACAGTGATCCAGGTAATTGAAGAATCCGTCCTGACAGTTCATTTATCAACTCTGTTCTTGAGTTTTCCATAACTCTGTTTTGAATAATTGAATTGAAGTATTGGTTTTGTTAGATACGAAGTCACGCACAGAAATACTTTCTCAAGGTTCAGAAGAATGGGACTAACGAACATCTCCCTCCTCCTCGACCAAAGAGGAAAGCAACTCATCCTTATCCACAAAAGGCTTCTAAAACTGGTAAAGTTTCGATCTTTTCTACATTGCTCTGTTATGTTTTGTCTCTTTGCATCTTATCTCATGATTGTGTCCTTTTTATGTTGTTGCTGCAGATGCTTTTACATCTTCTAACGCATTGCTTCAACATGAGTACTTGTACAGCACTGATTCACAGCCAGAGATCAGTACTCGTAGCAACGGATTAATTCACCCAAAATCGGTGATTAAAGGTAAGAATATGTTCTTAAAAATGGCTGTGTATTGATTGATGTATTAGTTAGTAATGTTGTGGTAATGAATGTGGGATTGTAGAGGAACTGGGAGTAGCAGAGAACTGTTGGAGCACTAGTAGTACTAGAGATAAGCAGAGGACTCGGACCGATACAGAGACAAATGAGCAAGAAAGTTGTGGAAAGCCTTATAGAGGTAAAAGATTCTTGCTTTGTACAGAGCAAACTCGAGATTCGGTCTTTGCGATACATGCTGATTATGAGTTTGTTTGGTGTTGTTTTGCAGTGATGCCGAATTTCGCTGAAGTCTACAGCTTTATAGGAAGTGTGTTTGATCCACAGAGAACAGGTCATGTCCAGAGACTAAAGCAAATGGATCCAATAAATCTAGAAACGGTATGTTAAATACGCACACTCCATTTGTCTAATGCCTCAGGAACATATCTGGAATATGAAATGTCGTAAACGCTGTTTTTATTGTTCATCAGGTTCTTTTATTGATGAGAAATTTGTCTGTAAATCTGACAAGTCCCGAGTTTGAAGAACAAGTAAGTGTTAGTCATCGCTTTATAATATTTTCATTTTTGGAGACTTAAAAGTAACAAACTTTCTTGGTGGGTTTTTGCAGCGGAGGCTAATATCATCATTTAACGCCAAATAGGGATCAAGAACAATGAT